CTAAAAATGATACCAAGGCTTTTGGAGACTTCATTTTCAATTTCGTTTAATCTGTTTCTTCCATGCTAGACCACAATCAAGATAGACACCTAGGAATTTGGTATATTGAACATTTGTTATGGCATGATTATCGATATAGATTTTTAAGGGTGAAAGGTCATGAAATTTTGACATCTGGGGGTTTCGAAACAGAATGAAGTTACATTTATTGTGATTTATTGAAAGTTTGTTAATTGAAAAATATTTAGAGAGGGAGATAAGGGTGGCATTAACAGAGTGTCACATAGAGTTTGAATGGTTTTATTAGAGTAAAACAAAAATAATAGTAGTGCCAAAAACGAAAGGAGGTTTGAGGACAAGTGAATGCTCTTTTCTTTGGACATATTATGCATGTACACAATATGTGCATGCGCCCTTATGTGTACGACTGTTTGCATGTGCACGTGTGTATGTGTAAGTGTTGACCTATGTGTGCGTGCGCGTGCGAACGTGTGTACTTACAATTGTGACAGAATTTTTATTTAATTATTTTAAAATTATTTACTATATTATAAATATTTTGTAATTGATTTGTAAGATTATTAGTTTTTAAGTTAAGAGCGCCACACATTTCAAAGGTTTGTAACTTGTTTGTGGTGGTAATTTTTTTTCACAACTATAAACATTGTATATCCTTTTATGTATTGACATGATTTTGTGTGAAAGTAAAGATTACTCCGTCTCAGACTCAGAATGTGCTTAAAATTGGTCATCGGTAAGGTCACCATTGGAGTCTATGTAGGTATCTGCCTGATCTTAAGGGCTTTTTCTGATACGTAATGTTATAGTACTTAAGGTAGAAATGATATCATTTTTGTATTTAAGGGAAAGATTATCAAAATGGTTGGCTTTGGCAGCTTGCATGTCGAGTTTAATTCGTTACGAAATTGTTGTATATATTTTCATTTTGAGTAGATGGACAGTCAACGGCAGCGGAACTCTTTTGGAAGTGGGGGTGGGGGCATTTCATAAGGTAGAGTATGTGAGCGAAGCGAGCATCTAGTCTGGGGGCCAGGGGCCTCTAAGGGCCCCAGTGGGGGTCGAGGGGAAAAGCCCCTGGAAGCTACAGATGTTTTACAATGTTTTGTGAATTTTGTAAGTTATTTTGTAGGCATCAAGCTACTGTAATATGATTTCATATTAATTGTTGTAATTTCCAGTGGCGGATCCAGGAATTCTAAATAGAAGAGCCCAGTGAGGGTACTTTCATAGAGAAAAAAAAATTGTGATTATGGCATCTCTAGATGACCGGAAATTCACTTCCAGACATAAAATTTGAATATAATTATCTTTATATCTCCATTTTTTGATTGAACAATTTAAGGGGGTAGAGGTGGGCCCCTTGAATGATTTTCCTTATATCTCAATTAAAAAAAAATGAACAATTTAACCTCCCCTCTCCCCATACTTAAACGCGCCACAGATTTCCAAACAAGTCGAAGTCGAGATTGCTTCCACGACCTTAATGAATTATTTATCATGAAGGTTATCCTTGATATGGCTTCCCGACGAAAACTTCACTTTTCCCCCGATGGATAAAAATTACCCTTCTATGCAGCCTGGAAACTCCAACTTTGGGGGTCCAGGAAGTCGAAATAGAAAGGTTCCAGGGAAGGTCTTGCGCAAATAGAATGTCCACCCGCCTCAGCCCAAAAACTATTGTGGGGCTGAGCACACCCCGATTAAGTACACCTATTCATTAACACAGGTTTGTCCCTAAATAGGCTTTCAGGTCCGTTCTCTTCACCACCATGTCAAAACTTTGTGGTCTTACCTCTTGGGGTCATGCCCAAATCTGATCCCAGGAAATGTCACATAATTCAGTATATGACATACCCCCAGGGTTCTTCAGTAAACTGGGGTATTCCTTCACAGATTTCCAATGTGAAGTACGACACAGCTGACACTATCGCAAGTCTTGTTCTTGCCTATGGTCCTGGTTGTCTCATGGCAAGGAGAAATATAGAAGATACATTCCGCATCGTTCCCATTCATCCTGCCGACTACCACTTACTGTGTTTTTCTTGGAAAATTCATTCTATTAGGACAAGTCTGGATTTTTAGGATGCGCTGCCGTTTTTGGCACGCATTTGTTTGCTGTACGTTGGCCAAAGGAATTCAACCATATTGCCCAAAAATTTTTATTTCCAGTGGTCGCTATCGAGACATGGGGCGCGGTCTTAGCTAACAGGCGTATACTGTTCAGATCCAACAACAATCAGGCTGTCGTGACGATTATCAATAAAATGACAGCAAAGACCCCAATCTGCTTATACTAATACTAATAATAATAATAGTAATAATAATAGTAATAATAACACGAATGTATTAATGTGCCAATTCAAGAGAACAATGATCAAAGGCGCAGTGTACGCTGAACTAGTTGTTAAATGAATGAGTTTTAGGAAATATTCAAGTGCCGGGATAGAATTAGGTGATCCTACTGAAGAAGGTAGATTTTTCCAGAAACAAGCAGCAGCGGATGTAAAGCCGGTGCTCTATAGTTAACACAAAATATATATTTTGTGAGATTGCTGAACCCCCACCATATTTTTGTAATTCTTAGTTTGTATGTTTCGTCATTTATTCACCATTGTTAAATGACAATTCTATCCCATTCATGTGCATCACGTTTTTTGCTGGTGTAGCTCAGTGGGTTGTGTGTTGGAGAAACCTGGGGACACAACTTGACAAATTACACGCGTCATTATTAAGTTCATGTTTGAAGATGTCGATGTTAAAATCACCAAAAATATATAAGAAATATTGTGAAAAAAAAAAAAATAATGGGCAAAAACAACAACAACAATAATAATAATAATAATATATTTACTATATTAATGATTAGGAAGCAGCATGTATTAATAATAGTAAAGGTAATAATTATAATAAAAAAGTAATTAAGCTAAAAAGCATTATGATAAGAATATGATAATAATAACGAAAAATATTATTCAAATAATGTAAGCAATCGCCTACTGTATATCGCTCAAGGTTATCGATGTTATCAGCCAAAAAGTAGGCCTAATATTCATTTCATAGCTCATCGTAACGCTATTCTAATGACATGAAGAAATGTCACCATTACGGACTGGTCGTCATGGGATACGTATTCGTAACTAACTGATCTACATGAGTTTGTGCTTCGAACGTCATCGTCATTCATAGAAAAAGCCGTAATCATAGTAAAACGATAAATTCGGTAACATCGATTTTATCGTTTTTCCATGATTATGACGTCATCTGAATTTGCCAAAATATTTTGTTATGTATACACGATCAATTGTTGTCGAATTTTCCATTTGTAAAAACTTCTCTTATTTATTTTATTTTCTATATGAAAAAAATCTTTTTAGCTTTTTATTGTTATCGTTGCAAGTCTAAACAGGCCTTTAAATCAATCTATTATCGTTTCGTTTTATATAACAACGTCGTTACTAGAATTTTTGTCAACAGTTCAGGGGATGATATAATGTGTTGGCTTATGGTTTAAGCCACAATACTCACAAGATTCTTGTCTTCAGAAGGGAGATGGTGGATATCGCCCAGTGCCGATTGGTTCGGAGGCACTTCAGCGGAGGTACTCTGATCGGTCGGTGGTATGCTTTGTGTGTGTGTGGTAGGCAGGGCTCCGTCCTTGTTTGAATCGCTGCTTGGCTGGGACAAACTGTCAGTTGTTTTCACGTTTCCTTGTTTAGATTTAGTGGCTGATCTGGGAGCTAAATCTTCCTAATGCATATATGATGATTATATATAGGAAAAATGCCAATAGTTGTAAGAAATAATGAGTTTTGAGATTTTTTTTAAGCAATTCTTGAGAAGTTAGCACATACTTAAGGCATGAGCAGTACTTAAGACTATTAATCATAGTAATACTTATTTCATTAAAATATATTATATTGTATACGTATACAGTAATAATATTGAATATAATTATTTAATTCATATTAATTGAATTACGATAAAACTGCAAATATTAAGCAGATGATGATTATATAATAATAATAATATAAAAAAATCAATATTATTATATAATTTTGTATAAGAGACAGATTCGAATATGTAATTAACAAAAAATGAATTATTTTTATATTCATTTATGTACTAGATAATAATTTCTCACCCATTTATTGCCGATTAGTTCTTTTTGCAGTTTCGTAAAGCCTTCGTCAAGTTTCGCCTCTTCCCTAAAGGGTACATACACGCGATCATCAATAAGGTCTTCAAGCCATGAATTGTTTTTGTCAAAGTCATCCATGATCAGCGGAATGAAAGGCTTGTTGTATTCCTTAATGCGATCACATTCTAGATAGAAAGACAACTGGCATATCATAACACGAAAAGAATTAAGAAAAACATGGAAGATATGTAAATCTGAATTATTCATGATTATGTACTGTCAGAAGTAGAACACATTGTAAAAACCTACATTAAAGGGATAGCCTATCCAAATATATTATTTAATTGGTGTAAACTAGCTTATTTAATCAATCATTCAGTACATTGCATCAACATGTAACATATACTGTTTCTGAGAAAATAAAATTTGAACGTTAATTTTACAACAATTGAAGATCGCCATTTTGAGCTAATGGCAGCTTGTTAATGACGTCTTATACGGCCGACGAAATTTTGTGTTTCCCGGTCTATTATGGGACGCGACAATTGGCTAAGCCATTCTGCTAGGCTGATTGGCTGAAACAGTGACACGGTCAAGCGAGGTCGGCTAGACTGTCATCTGCTGTCGCGAGTGTAGTCGCGGGGAAAAAGAGAAAGACACTATCAGCAAAAAAAAAAATTGTTTACGTAATTGTTTAATTCAACAAAATGGTATTTTGTACAGCTATCGGCTGTACAAATAGATCAAGTTCAGCGAGAAACGTAAGTTTCCATAGGCTACCTATAAACCAACCTGTTCTCCTGAAGAAATAGCTTTTGAATTTGAGACGGGACAACCCTGTCGTCAGTAAACATGTTTTTGTCTGTTCCGAGCATTTTGAGCCCCACTGTATTTTTTATTTAATCGGCGTAGAGCCAGTTCCTGTTCTGTATATTCAGGTTCAAAGCTATAATCCTTGTAAAATGACATAATCAATATAAGGATGATTAAAAACAAAATACATCGGGAGATCAAACAGTCCTAGGTTTGTAGGGAGCTGCTGTGATCGGATCGAACGAACAAACTAGCATACTGCGTATGCGGTGTACAGTGGGTACTTGATCAGCGGCCGATGTTTTATTATCATCGCAACATGCCTTGCTTTAATTTCATTTATCGGCTTTTAAACAATAAAACCATTACATATTCATTTTCAGTATAATTTTGTTTAAGCTTATAAATCTCAATAGCCATAATTTGTTTGCATATCAATAACAAATGAGCGGACAGTTCAACTATTTGGGAGTGATCTTCCCACTACATTGCCAATGTAATTGTTGGTTAAAATTCAATGAAGCCATACGATCGGACGTATATGACGTCACAGAGCTCGAAATATGGCAAGTTAGCACAGGGCTCGTGCATAAAACCGATTTTCTTTTAAATTAGTGTGTTTATCAAGTATGTAGTATGTATTATTATGTAAGTAACAATACTGAGGCTATTAAGATGTGGTCTAGGCCTTGGCTTTAAAAGAATATACGACACGTTAGATAGTTATGTAAGTAGAAGAACGTGTGCTGATATAGATCTTGGTATTATTACTAGACTAGATAATCATATTTAAAAACAAAAAAAAAAAAAAGAAGAAAAATATGATTACTATTTACATTATTATTGTCTACATGTTTGGTGAATGTTTGTTAAACAGCCTTACCGAATTTGCAGTTCCTACTTTTTTCGTATTTTTTTGACAAACATATGAGAACTATGCCAGCATCTTTGACGGCTTTCTTCATCGTACTTTTAACGTATCCAGTCATTTTCTCTATATCAATCCAGACGTCGTAAGTCAGTTCCCTCAATCGATCTCTTATGATTTTTATGACTCTATACAGTAATATCAATTATTTTTCAATGATAGGACTAAAATGTATGATTATCAATTATCAGTTTTATTAACAAAAATAATGATATTAGTAATTTTATTATTAATAATAAAAGTCAAAACAACAATATGTTTTGATAAAAATTTTGATTGGTATAGAATTCAATAGTTAGGCCTATAATAGTAATCTGACTAAAACAAAAAGAGCAATATCTTTTATTGAAAATTGGTTAAAAATACAATTTGCAGAATCATTGTCATTGGTAGAAACATATTTACCATGTTTAATTTGTTTATTTCTCCTCTCTAAATTAATCTCCCAGCGCATTGATAATATTGTTATATGATATATATTAATAATATAAACAATCACATGAATAATGATGATGATAATAATAATAATAATAATAATAATAATATTAATAAAAATAATAATAATAATAACCATAATAATTATAACCATAATAACAATAATCATAACCATAATAACAATAATTACAGTATAACCATAATAACAATAATATTTATAATAACAATAATAATATGCACTTACTTCTGGTGGGTATGGTTATAGCTTAGCATTATATACCCCTGATTCTGAAAGGACAAGTCAGATATACTAAAGCTTAGGCTCATTCAATTTTCCATTATACTTGAGCCACACATTGTAGGATCCAAACTACATATAATTGTAGAGGGCGTAATAAACTTCAAACACGGTAGATATAGTAACGCAATTGTAGCATTTAATATCTGATTTAATATTCCGATTCAAGTTCCGATGAACTAATGAACTGTTAACCGGTTTAAAGTTATGTGTGGGTTACACGCCAAATAATGAAGAATGAAAATATAAACTTCCTTAAAAGGTATAGAATACTGTATATAAACTGGGTTAAATGGATGCTAACGATGGAATGATCAGGTGTGGTCAACTAAAGGAATTGAGGCCACTTTGAACATTGCACTAGTCATAGCTTAGGAAATTGGTATAGTCAGGGGAGCAGGGAGTTATGCTTTAAACAGTGGTTAATCAAAGTCAAGCTCAAAGTCAACAGTCTAATTAACTTTTGGTCAAAGTGAATAGGACACACAAATCTTGTCCAGATAAATTGAGGGCGCATTAAATTGATTTTAGCCGTAACACACATATCATTGAAAGTTATCCCTGGAAAATCTAAGTACACGATATTACCGAAAAAAATAATTGAGACATCAAGTTTAATATACATTAGGGGCCTACTTACCTTCTCACTCATCTGTACTGACACACCAGATCGGAGACTGCTTCCCACATCAGATCGGAGACTGCTTCCCACATCAGATCGGAGACTACTTCCCGGGTTAGCTTAAAGTAATTAAACAATCATATTTTTCAAAATATGCTTTAAATTAAGGTCTATAATAATACAATTTATCATCATCATCATCATCGTCATCGTCGTCGACATCATCATCATTATCATACACATCCTCATCATCCTCATCATCCTCATCATCAACACCACCATAATCACAGTACGACTTTGCTCATCCAATGTTGGGCAAAGCCCTCCAGCAGTTCCCACTTCCCTTTGCCTGTTTCCGTTTAAATCATTTTGCAGTATTCATTTTGGCCAATGTGATTAGTTCATCTCTTTTTTATGTCTCTTTGTCATTAACTTGTCATTAGTTGTCACTTTTCCAGCTATATTGTCTAATTCTTGCTAATTGTTCAGTCCATTTTCTCCAGTACATTTGAGTGATTTATAATATCTTTGACGTTTATGTTATGATATATTGTAATGTATTATAATTATGTCATATAATATACCAAAATAAATATTAATAAAAAAAATTGTTTTTCATAATTATTGTCATTATTATCATTATCATTATCATCATCAATGTCAGTGTCATCATCATTATCATTATTATCGTTATCATTAACCAAATTTACTAATGTTTACTATGTTTAAGTTAAAGGAGCTCCAAACGAAATTCAATTACAATGAACGGCATGTAAAAGACTTTTAAAAAGGAAAATATGTCAAAAAGAAAGATATCATTTTAAGTATTTGCTTTAATTTACCGTTTATTGGACTTTCTATTGATTGTTCTACTTTTCTTTCCTTTTCTTTAGGCCCTTCATCCTGATATGTTCGAATATTCCGTTTGCGGTTTGGAGTAACACCTACAACACAATAATAGAAAAAAAAAGAAAATATAAATTAAGCATACAAATAATAACAAAATATAGGCTCTAGTAGGAGATATGCATATTAA